ACAGACAGACAGACAGACAGACAGTAGACGGACGGACGGACGGACGGACGGACGGACGGACGGACAGACGGACGGACAGACACATAGACAGAGAGATAGACAGACAGAAACAACAAAGGGAAAGTGAAGAAGTAGGACAACCACAAACTTCCCCCTCCCCAAAATATTTTTTTCACACAAACACGCACTCAAAAATACTTTCTTGTTCGTCATTTAAAATTGCCCAGACCGTATTCCAGTGAGATACTCACAGATATCGCATCTCTCTCTCTATATATATATGTGCCCCCTCTCTCTCTCTCTCTCTCTCTCTCTCTCTCTCTCTCTCTCTCTCTCTCTCTCTCTCTCTCTCTCTCTCTCTTCCTCTCTCTCCTTACATGAAGGTGAGCGCCGTATCCCGGGCTGCCCATAAACAGCCAGTCCGTTCGGCTCGACTCGGCATTTTCCGGAAGGAAGTAAGGTCGACCGTAGTGCTTTCGTAATATCTCACCGGCAGTGACGTCACAGTTGCTCCTGCCAAAAATAAAATAGATGACCAGGGTGTCAAAATTGGAGACAGAAGCTACGTTAATCTAAAATATGCCGACGTCGCAGTCTTTCTAACTGACAACATTACGAGCAAGAAAAGAATCTTACAGCGAGTCGATACTGCTAGCAATAAAGGAAGTCTGAAATTTAACACCAAAATTATCAAGTCATGCACATTACATGAATAAAAAGTCGAAGCCACAACAGATAAAAACAAACAAAATACAGTAGTTCAGGAATATAATACTAAAGACTGCAAATAGCTTGTTAGCATCAGCAGCAAAAGCGGAAGAAACAAATATGCACTAAGATAGAGAATAGGCATGACAATACAAAAGGTCGTAAAACTAAAACAACAAAAAAATAAAACGACACGATGACAACTGCGCTGAACGACAAATTAGAGGCAAAGAGAAATCAATCAATAGTCACATGGTCTGGACAGAACATAAATTCTCTATGAACCTAGATTGGTTTCAAACTGCCAGATCCATGTCCCATGAGCACTAACCTACAGATACCAGAGTCTGAAAACAACGTGCAAGAACGAATAAGCAACGAAAGCAACGAACGGCTGATAGGCGACTAGCCTGACCACAGCCGTACTTCATACTACTACTACTAATACCTCTTACAAAATACACTGAAAAAGTTAACTCCTACAGTAATGTACAATGTCATTATTTAATGCATCAGTGTAGAGACGGGGGAAGATAGATGCTTATTGTGGTAAAGAGTGGGGCACCAACAGACGAACACAGACATGGTGCCAAATGACAGGTGAGTAGGTGCTACCCATTCGACTTATGAAATAGATCACACAAGCAATTATTATTGTACTCAAGTTTACTTTCTGTTTTTAAGTCAAGACATTGTGTCTGCCCTTTTCTCTCTCCTCTGCTTAATTCTCATCCCAGAACCACACCATTGTCTTCTAAATGAACTATTGTGTCCAAAACAGCATTAAACTAAAAAAAACCCAACCCAAACCAGCAATAAAACCTCAAACAAGCACAACAATTAAGACTATTGTTGTTTAAAATTGTTCTGAAAGGCTCAACTACAAGTACTCACCATCCCACGTACCAGGGCTTAGCCCCACTACTCAGCTCCGCCCTGGATTGATCCATTTTGAACACATGACCCAGACTCCGGAACTCCGTCTGGTACGGGAAGAACTGGCACCTGGACTCTGCCTTTCTGAGGGCAGCACTGCCGGGTCGGTACAGATCTACGGATATTTGGACACATCAGATTCCGCGCATGCAAAACCTTTTCGTCTGTAAACCTACGTCACAGTATCATCTATCTATCTATTTATATGCACATCTATTTGCTGCTTTGCAGGGCTAGTCCTAATACTACAAGGCATGGAACACTAGTGTAAGTGACTTATTCTCATATTACATATTTACCTGTTGTCAAGTGACTATCTGCAATAGTGCAAGCTTAGAATAGTATGTTAAACAACGTCCAACGGATTACAGTCAGGAATCGTACTCGCAGCTTTCCTTAGCAAGTCCAACCCGTTCCCATGAAACAAGGACCATACTATAGAGAGAACGATATAATACATGTATTTCTTCCTGTCTTTAAATTTATTCCTACTATGAAAATATTTGAATCCATGAATTAAATATAGAAGTCATGAGTTCGGTCTCCACGGCACGGAGATTTTCAGTAGGTGATGTCTTTCTGCTGTGATGTTACAACCAAGGCCGGTCTAACCCTTATCACAGGCAGTGTAAGAACAGCCCGCTTCCAAAATAGCTTGGATTGCGCAGAAGGAAATACAAAACATTTATTACTTTGTTTATCCATGATTTACTTACCTCTAAAGAAATCGAAGCTAAAAGTTGTTGTGGCCGTCCAGTTAGACGCTCCATCAGTCACAATGACGGGATGTCCGGAATAAGCAAACTTCCTCTCGAAATCGTCAGGAGAAATCTGTGAAACTCTGGGCACTTCATGTACATCCTCGCAGAATTCACACGAGATTGGAGGCCGAGCGAGATCTTGGGCTGTTTGCGAAGCTTTGAGTAGACAAATTTCCGACTCAAAATAGCCAGGATTTTCACCCTTTAGTCGCCACACAAACTTTGCCAGGTTATCCCTTGGCACTGGCCATTCCAGAGCCCAAGATATAGAGATGAAACAGAATAAACCCAGAATAGACAAAAATGAAGTCTTTAAAACTGAAGTCACCCTGTGCCACTTTGCATGTGTGACGTCACGAACATATTTAAGTCGTGCCATCTGGTGTTGTTTGATGCCCAAGGACAGTGCCTTTTGATGCAACTGAATAAACATGACCTGTCGAACGGAGAGATAAGACAGAAAATAATAATGTATTTATTTGTTATAAAATTTGTTGATAGTTTACATTTCTATTGATACAATGTAGATTTTTATGAAGACGAGCTCTTCAACAATGAATATCAAGGCTAATTAAGGTTGTGTTTCAATGAACACTTTCAGGAAGTATTTCTTTCAACAGATATACCATCCTTAATAACATCTCCTAGAATCGAAATTACGCTCTAAATCTTGGAGGTGAAATGTCCAACCTTTAAAGCACAGTCGAACTTTCATGAAGCAACAAACAAACAAAGACACAATGGCATAAACTGTAACTTCCATTGTACGAATTCAAAGAAAAATAACTCGCAAGTGTTTAGACCTCTGACTGATCTCATTTTCTTTTTTAAAAAGGACATATTTTAGTCTGTTGGACATAGACAAGCCCAACCTACTGACTTACCTCTGGGTCTGTGAGTTGAAGTTTGTCGTCCTTGTTCAGGCCTTCTCTGCTTTCCATGGTCGAATACCAGAGAAGTAACCGAGGCAACAAAATCTGAAAATTGTAATGATATTCAGTCTAGTCTTATCTTACTCTGACGTTTCTAGGTCAACTAAATCGTTTAGTGCAATAAAATATGTATTCTCCAAATCCTTCATTAAAATAGCAAAAGCAAAAGTTCATTTAACTCTTAGAGGTCGGCACGTCTACTGACTAGACACTGCATTACTTTCCTTTTTTTAAAAATTATTGCTGAAAATGCTAATATTACATATAAATAATGACACACGCATATACACATATTTAAATGAATACACACACACACACACACACACACACACACACACACACACACACACACACACACACACACACACACACACACACACACATATATATATATATTATATATATATATATATATATATATATATATATATATATAATATATACATATACACGCACCTACATATTTCAAATTAAACTTGTTTCTACAAGGCGAGGAATAGGCTATTTAATTAGATTATGTCTGGTATCTAGCACACAGACGTCTGAGGCACGCGGACACATCCCAGGTTTCTGGAATCTTCACAAAGAAATAACACGTTTTTGTTTTTTGTACGTTCTAAACAAAGAAATGTAAACATATGGTTTTCAAAAAGAAATGGATGGATATTATAAAACAAAAAGATTTAAAGTGAGAAACATGGGCTACCAGAGAGAGCGAGAGAGAGAGAGAGGGCGAGAGAGAGAGAGAGGGCGAGAGAGATAGAGAGAGAGAGAGCGAGATGGGGAGAGAGAGAGAAAGACAGAGAGAGAGGGGGGATGTGAGAGAGATATATATTTTCACCTTATTGACGTAAAACATGTACAAAGAAATGTGAGAAGAATGAAAGCACGACTACAAAATGAGAACTTCGTTGACCACTCATGTACAACAGGTCAAAACCTGTGATAAGGACTCGCATAGAAATGACAGTTGAAAATGCAACGGGTTAATAGAAACCTTAAAAATTAAATGCAATGTTCTGGGGTGGAAAAAGTCTTACTGTACTGGATTTTTGTTGTGTACCTCTACTGAACAACCTGACAATGATCTTGACGGCAGTAGGAGAAATACACACTGAAATTACATTAACAAAATACACAATAACGGGGACAACAGCAAACGTAAGGAGCTCTCGTATGATGGAGGAAAAGAAGCCCCCCGTTCTTCACATACAACTATCAACGAAATCTTTCCAAAACTCAAAGAATCAGAATTTCCCAAAACGAGACCACGGAACCAAAGGATGAGAAGACACACAGGCTGTGACCGATGGGCCACGTTCGCCTGAGACGCTGGAGGCAGTATAAAGTAGAGCTTGGCGAAGAATCGATTCTGGAACCGATTCCCGATATTAATGTCTAAGATAGTTCACTCGGCCAAAACAATTGTCCCGGGAAGTCTGCGCATTGATTCACATGCGCATTGATTCACATGGCGCAGCAGTCTTTGTTTTGAAGTTCTTATTCGTTTCTCCAGATGAGGAATGGGAATAGAACAGTTTGTTAGTTTCGCTTGTATTGTTTTTCACACAAGGAGGGTAACTCTGTTCGCAAATTCCGCACTTTAAAAAAAGAGGGCGCCACCGGATTTTGTTGAGGACATTTTTTTAATTGGCTCAAAGAGAGGAGTGAACTATCTTGCTACGTACGATCTTTGTTAATACTGCGGAAGAAAAGTCCCGACTCCTTTTTTAGGTAAACCAGCGGTACCAGTTACTTCAAAGGTTACATTTTTAAAAAAAAGTTAAAGATGGTATTTTTTGGAGAAAAAAAAGTTGGTGCCTTGTAGTGTGCCGAAATTAAGGTTATCCTAAATCCTGAATATGTCCGGAGCCAACCAGGTAAACACCAGAAGAAATCACGTCATCATTAGAAAGTAATTGGGTTCGGAGTCGATTCCTACGATTCCTAGCATTGAATAATCGTGAACCTAGCCGCCCAGCACTAGTATAAAGTGGTGTTCGATTATACATCGATTCTGGCAAGGGGATGATATGGATACCTACCTTACTCGATTTCCTCAAAATAGCCGTACTACCTCTGTGGATTGGGCAGATTTCAATGTTCATGTCGCTACTGTTGGCGTGATGCATGTCTTGGGAGGGAAATTACTCCAGATAACTGATTTCCCGAGTGGAAACCTATAATACTGCTTCTGATAATCTTCGAGCTCTGGAGTTACGCAGAGAGAATCCTTTTTTCTCCCTTATTTGTTATATAGAAACAAAGAGGTTGAAGGCTGAGAGAAGGTGAATGGTTGACTGTGCTAATCTAATGCAATCATATTTGTTTCTTCATAAACGGCTATTTTTGCTTCTTTTTCAAGTATGCTAAATGTGCACACTCTGGTGAGACTGCTTTTTATCCCCGATTATGCAGTTCCAACCAGTTGGACAAGTGTGTACGGAGCGTAGGTGCAGTGCGATAGAAAGGGATCTAAGGAGGAACAGGGCACGAGGAAGGAGAGAGAGAGAGAGAGGGGGGGGGGGGGAGGGGTGTGTGTGGAAGAAACACCGCCGTCTGGTCTAAAAGTATTTCATGCAACTCATGGTTAAAGTATACATTTACCGGCGTCAGTCTCCTAGCTAATGCACGTAGAAGGTGTGAGTTCAATTTCGACGTGACCAAGTTTCTTGCTTTTCTTTTTAGTATTGTGTATCTGCGTTTGTTTTTATGTTGCATCAAACTCAGTTCATGTATTTGTTGCTTTGGACTGGTCATATAGAAGTATTCCACCTCCCAAAATATCATCTAAAATGTCTCGTCCGGGGCACAAAGTTATAATATCAACAATTTTATAAAGGCATAAATTTACAAGCAACATCGTGACCATAAAAGTACACCATAGGAACCATTACGTCCATTTCTATCTTGTGTTTCAAGTATAGCAAGTCTTCCGACACACATACTGAAAGAGTTTTCGAGAGATCATAAACACCATAGTTTGGGGGTTTGAATGTAGGTATGAAAATGATAAGAGGGAAATATTATTGTACAGTATCTTGCTGCCAGTATATTTACACACTTAAACAAAGAAGTGATGAAGTGATGCAGCACTGACTTGAAATTCTTTTTGAAAATACTAAAAGGGCGCGGCTAAAGAGATAGTTCTAGTTAATATTCCTTCAAACCATATGTTTAACTCGTTGTTTTGAATTCTGTCTTCATCCTAAGACTGCAGGTGCATATCTTGGAGAAAAAATGTCTCAGCTCTGAAAATGATTATGATAAATGAGAAATGGCATAATGTAAGAAATGTACCGATACCGAATTCGCCTCATGTTTTAATGCCCTTGTTTTCTAATTTCGAGTTATGACCTCCAGAGCTAGGGATATAGGAAAAAAACAGCAATTCTTGAAGTTTCTGACTATCAGGATGTCGATCTATTTTGGATTTATAAATATCAGCGGTTGGACTGTGCCTTCCGTGAGCCGATGGTTTACAGGTTCGTTAGAGTAATTTATCCTTTTCATATCTATGTTGATGAAGAACTACCATTTAAATCTCTTCCTGTGAAAAAATAGGTTTTGCATTCATAATAACATGCGCGAACACACACACACACAGACACACACACACACACACACACACACACTCTCTCTCTCTCTCTCTCTCTCTCTCTCACACACAAACACACACACACACACACACACACACACACACACACACACACACACACATACACACACGCGTGCACACGTTCCACAAAATCGTCTTGGCTTGAGAGGGTAAGGAAAAAAGTGACAGAAAGGGGAGTGGAGGCCAATAAATTGTAACATAATGACGATTACAAAGCCTGCCTTGTTCCGATCCCAGCATCAGTCTCTACGATTAACTTGATTTTCCACACCGCTGACTTTGGTCGTGCGCATGTCTTTCACGCAAGGAACCAGATGAAGTGATCGATATCACGTGATTTGCTTGTCTCCCCATAATTGGTTGATTTCCTTTATCTTTTTTTCCTTCTAACTTTGGGCGAGTTTTTGGGAAAAAAAAAAGCAAAAGGGTTTGTTTGTTTGTTTGTTTGTTTGTTGTTGTTGTTGTTGGTTTTTTTTGTTTTTTTTTGGGGGGTGGCATTGAGCTGCCGAGAAAAGGCATTTAAAGTTTTTACTGATGTGACCTCGGATTGTTTCGTTTTTTAAAATCGTGTACTTTATACTTGCGAGCTGAAAAGTTTTAGCTGGCAGTTGCTTTGCAATAACATTTGTGAATCATGAGGACTCTGTGGGTATTCCTCGTGAGTAAGATTAGTGTCAACAAATTTGGAAACACGTAAATGTGTGTGTATGTGTGTGTGTGTGTGTGTGTGTGTGTGTGTGTGTGTGTGTGTGTGTGTGTGTCTGTGTGTGTGTGTGTGCGCGCGTGCGTGCGTGCGTGTGTGTATGTTTGTAATAATATTCTATCCCTCTCTCTATCTATCTCTCTATCTCTCTCTCTATCTCTCTATCTCTCTATCTATCTATCTATCTATCTATCTATCTATCTATCTATCTATCTATCTACACTAGATTATACTCGAACCTTCATTAACGTTCACCTGTCCAAAATAATCACCCGTACAAACGACCACCCCACACTCTACCCCGCTTGTTTTTAAAGATATTTTAATGGTAATATTTTAAAAAATGTCCACCTGTCTAAGATAACCACTTCTTCTTTCTTTCCCCCCCTTTTTTTGTGGTAAGTGTTTTATGGCGCTCGTAACTGCATAAGGTTGTATGAGCGCGCGTTACGCACCAAACATTTTTCAGTGGCTAGGAAGTTTTGAAGTTTTGCCCTGGTGGGGTTAAAGCTAATCTAATCGATTTTAGACCACCAAGGGATCTTAAACGTGCACAGCTTGCATACGGGACCTCAGAGATTTTTTGTCCTTGCCCAAGAAGCTAGGTGTAGATATTACCTACCATAAGATCAGGGGTATGGCTGAAAGAAAGCAGTAAGAAGGAGCCAAGGAGCAGCAGTAGAAAGG